CTATCATCTATCTATCTGCCCACGCTACCTGTCCACTATCGATCTATCTATCAAGCCACCTATCAATCTTCCACCGCTGCCGACCAGGAGGTGATGACAGATGGCGTGGGGGTGGGGTGGGTGGGGTGGGGGGTGGGGGGGAGGGTAGCACCACCTGAGACCCCTCCCCCTCTCCAACCAACCCCCTCCCCCTTCCCCCCCCCCCCTTTTTAAACAGCCCCCTTCCCCATCCTCCTACCCCTCTCTCCCCCACTCCATCATCCCTCTCCATCCCTTCCTGTAAGCCACCCCCTCCCATCCCCTACCCTCACCCCCCCTCCTTAACAACCCCCTTCCCCACCCCTCCTCTGTGGACCACCCCCCCCCCCTTCCTCTGACCCCCCTTCCTCTCCAACATCTCCCCTTCCCTGTCCCCTCCCTACCCCCCCCTCGACCCCACACGCATCCTCACTCCGTCGAGGATAATGGGGCGATTCTTCGCGCGTAAACACCGTGAAAATGACCCTTAAGTCTCGGTAAACACTGGGTCTTCATCCCTTGGCGCGGGGGCTGACACTCACTCCTGACGAGGCTGATGTTTTCGACGCTGCTGACCCTCACTCATGGCGAGGCTGATGATGCTGACATTCCTGTTTCTGTTGACGCTCCCTGACTGCTGACATTTCCGACGCAGCTGACACTCACTCTTACTTGCTGACACTACTGTTTCTGTTGACTCTCCTGTCCCTGCTGACTATCTTGACGCTGCTGATACTCCTGACACTCTCCTCATGCTGCTTGACTCCTCTGACGCTGCTGACATTTCCGACGCAGCTGACACTCACTCCTGACGCTGCTGACACTACTGTTTCTGTTGACTTTCCTGTCCCTGCTGACTATTTTGACGCTGCTGACACTCCTGACACTCTCCTCATGCTGCTGACTCCTCTGACGCTGCTGACTTTCCCGATTCAGATTTTTTTCTAATTTGAGAAATATGCCTCGTAGATATAAAAGAAAATCAATAAATACAATAATGGAATAACATCTCTTTCTCTCCTTCCTACTTTCTTCTCTCATTCGCTCCCTCCTTTCCTCTAATCTCTTCATTCTCTCATTCCCTGCCTTTCTCTCTCACTACCCTCTCTTCCTCTCTACCTTTCTCTTTTCCTTTGTTTCTTTCTCCCTATCCTCTCTCCTTCTTTTCCTTCTTCCTCCTACCTCTTCTCCTCCCTTACTCTCTCCCTCCCCACCTTTCTTCCTACCTTCCTGTTTACCTTCCTATCTTTCTCCCTCCCTTACTCTCATCTTCCCTATCTTTCTTCCTCCCTTTTTTCTATCCTTTCTTCCTCCTTTCCCCATATACATTCCCCTCTATCCCTTAACTCTCGCTAACCTCCCTCTTGCTCCTTACACTTTCCCTCTATTTTCTCCTTCCCTCCTCCTCCCTCCTTCCTCCCTCCATCTCCTCTTCCCCCCTCCCTTCCCTCCCTTCCCCTCTCCTCCCTTGCCCTCCCCTCTCTCCCTTCCACCTCTCTCCCTACATTCCCTCCCTCTGTCCCTCTCCTTCCCTCCTTCCATCCCTCTCCTCCCCCTCCCCCCCTTCCCCTTCTCCCCCTCCCTCCCTTCCCTTCCCCTCTCTCCCTCCCCTCCCCCTCCCTTTCCCTTCTCCCCTCTCCCTCCCCCCTCCCCTCTCCCCTCCCACCCCTCACCCCTTCCCACAAGGAGCAAACCCGACGACGCTAAGCCTCCCTGTCCCCAATTATGTCGGAATGCCCTGGCTTGCTCATATATCAAGCTGTAGCGTTAAATACAGTGATTACCTCGAGGGGGCTTGAAGGTTGGCATTTTGGCGGGGTCGGGTTGGAGTCAAGCTTCACACACTCTCGACTCTTGCTGGCGACGGCGAGAAAATTCTTGCTTCTGCGCTGGCCGACTGTGCACGGTCCTCCGTTCTCTCTTTTTTTTTTTTTCTCTTTGTTCTTCTTTCTTTTTTATTCTTTCTCTTTGTCTTCTTCTTCTTCTTCTTCCTTCTTTATCTTTCTCTTTTCTTCTTTTATTCTTTCTTTTTATTCTTTCTCTTTCTCTTCTTCTTCTTCTTCTCTTTCTTTTTATTCTTTCTCTTTCTCTTTTCTTCTTCATTTTGCTCTTCTCTTCTCTTCTCTCACTTCCTTCCTCTCTTTCTTCCTTAATTCCGTGATTCTCTCCGCTTTCTCCAAAACCCAATTTCTGGTTTTAAAGGTTTTTTGTTTTGTTTTGTTTTGTTTTGTTATCGGTGCTTCCCCTCCCTCCCAACCCCCTACCCCCTCGTCCTCTCCTTTTACCCCCCCCCCCCATTCCCGACCAATCCCCCAGTGCTTCTGCAAATTCCGTTATTAATTGAGTAAAGAAAATGGATGTGTTCCGTGTTATATATATTTCATTTTGTATTCATGGTCTCCTGTAACTATAAGAAAAGAAAATATAAAGAAAAAGAAAGAAAAAAGGCGAGGAAGTGAAAGCGAAGAAGAAGAGAGGAGAGAGAGAGAGAAGAGAGAGACTGAGAGAGAAGAGAGAGAGAGAGAGAAGAGAGAGAGTGAGACAGACAGAGAGAGAGACAGAGAGAGAGAGAGAGAGACAGACAGACCCAGACAGAGAGAAGGAGGAGAGAGGAAAAAGTAAGGAAAAGAGACAGAGAGAAAGCGAAAAAAAAACGCGCGAGAGCGAGTGAAAGCGAGACTAAAATACGGTTTCGTTCCAAGAATCCAAAGCTGATAAAAAAAAAAATACGACCCAAGTGCCTGCTCCGAAAAAACGCTCAACGGCGCTTCCCGGCTTCAGCTTCCGCTGGCTGCGCTACTCGCTTCGCTTTCTATCACCCTCGAGGAAATTTGTCATGGTCCTGATCTCGTTAGGGAGGAAATATAAGGGAAAGGAGAGAAGGGAATGGAGGGAAGGAGAAGAGATAAAGAGAGGGAGAGGGAGAGGAAGATTGAGGAGCGGGGAGTGGACTGGAGTAGGGTGAAGGGAGAAAGAGTTAAAGAGAGAAAGATGAGGAGAGATAATGAGAAAGACCAAGAAACAGAAGAAAGAAAGAAAACACGAATAACAGATTTTTCACCCCCGCCCCCCCCCCCTACTTCCCTCATGACAAGTTCCCTTAAAGATCTTAATTCCTGGACATGCGTTGTATCTCTCTCTCTCTCTCTCTCTCTCTCTCTCTCCTCCTCCTCCCTCCTCTCCTCCCTCCTCTCCTCCCTCCCTCCCTCCCTCCTTCTCTCCCCTCCCTCCCTCCCTCCCGCTCCCTCTCCCTCCTCCTCCTCCTCCCTCCTTCCCTCCCTCCCTCCCTCTCCCTTCCTCCCCCTCCCTCCCTCCTTCCCTCCCCCCTCCCTCCTTCCCTCCTCCCTCCCTTCCCTCCTCCTTCCTTTCCTCCTCCTTCCTTCCTCCTCGCTTCCCTTCCCTCCCTCCTTCCCTCCTCCCTCCCTCCCTCCTTCCCTCCCTTCCTTCCTCCTCCCTCCTCCCTTCCTTCCCTCCTCTTCCCTCCTCTTCCCTCCCTCCTGCCTTCCCTTCCTCCCTCCTTCCTCCCTCCCTCCCTTCCCTTCCCTCCTCCTTCCCTTCCCTCCCTCTTCCCTTCCCTCCCTCCTTCCCTCCTCCCTTCCTCCTCCCTTCCCTTTTCCTTCCCCCCTCCTTCCTCCCTCCCTCCTCCCTTCCCTCCCTCTTCCCTCCCTCCTCTTCCCTCCTCCCTCCCTTCCTTCCCTCCCTCCCTCCTTCCTTCCCTCTCCCTCCTTCCTTCCCTCCTCCTCCCTTCCCTCTCCTTCCTTCCCTCCCCTCCCTTTCCCTCCCTCCTTCCTTCCTTCCCTCCTTCTCCTTTCCTTCCCTCCCTCCTTCCCTTCCCTCCCTCCTTCCCTTCCTCTCCCTCCTCTCTCCCTCCCCTCTCCTTCCCTCCCCTCCCTCCTTCCCTCCTCCCCCTCCCTTCCCTCTCTTCCTCTCCCTCCTCCTCCCTCCCTTCCCTCCCTCCCTCCCTCCCTCATGTGTACCTACGTGTCTTCAAATGCGACAAGAGTTATATATATTGTCGAGGCTGAGTGTGAAATCGCCCAGGATTCTCAGAAGGTCGGCCGGCCATTGTGATCTCGAGCTCGTGGTGGAGTGACGCTTTGGGTAATTAGTTTCGGCCATTTGGCTTCTCTTCTCCCTTGTCAGGCGTCTTGGGACATCGGGAGCGAGGCCATTTTCACGCTATTTTGTGATTTAGTGAAAGAAAAAAAATGAAAAAAGAGAAAAAAAGATGGATTGAAGTAAATGAATAATGGTTTGTTTCTCTTTTTTTTTTTTGTCATCGCGTTTGAGAATGGGTATTTTGACGCCCTGTTTGAATTAGAAAATAGGTATTTATTTTATTTCTTTGTTTGGAAATTATTATTGTGTTGGTGTTTATGTTAAAAAAGAACATATCTTTTCACTTTCCTCCTGTATTTTAATCGTTTTTTAAAGTTATTTGACCTTGCTTTTCATTATTCTAATATACCGAAAATCATATCGATAAGAAAAGAAAAGAAAAAGAAATAACATACAATTCCGAAGTGACAAATTTTATATATAACCAACGATTTTTTTCGGCCATGACTTAGGTTAACCATCCAACGGTATTTAAAGCACCCATTTAGACAAGTGTAAATACCCTAATTACTAATTGGCTCGTTACCTATGGTGCTTTTGGGTATTTTGGAACTTTTGGGTATTTTGTGGGTCAGGTACAATCTTAAAAAAAAGTAAACTAATATAAACAAATATGAGATAGATAGACTGGTCATAAAGGAAGATATAGAGATGGCTAATAAATGCACAAAATAAGTGACACAAAGGAATATTCCAATAAGAGAATTTTTGGGTCTTAATTACAATCATGTGGTTAGTGTTTGTAAATATTAGGCAGCGTGTAGTTATTGATATTAGTATTACATATATATACTGTTATTATTATCATTATTATTAATATTATTGATATTGTCAGCTGTCACGATTATCATGTCTTGTTACCATTACTATTTTGTAAAGTTTTGTCGTCGTATCATTACACCTATCATTATCATCAACACTGCAATTTCTCTCTTTTAGATTAATGATATTTCACGATTTTTCCTGAATTTCTTTATATCAGATTCCTATCTCAGAGAATTTTTTAGCAATAACATTTATTTATTTCCATTTTTCATGAACATTATTCATGATTCAAGGTATCCTTAGAATGTAAGTGTAAGAGAAAATTAGATAACTATTTGGATGCGCATGCGTTGAAATCTCCAGCCTCTCTCTCTCTCTCTCTCGCTCTCTCGCTCTCTCTCGTCTCCTCTGCTCTCGCTCTCTCTCTCTCTCCTCTCTCTCGTCTCTCTCTCTCACTCTCTCTCTCTCGTCTCCTCGCCTCTCGNCTCTCCCTCTCCCTATCCTCTCTCCTCAAAGAGGTAAAACAGCGCTCATTAATCTTTTACAACCCTACAAAACCGGAGGTCATCCCGGAGCAAAGAACGCCTCTCCCCTCCAGCCCCAGAAAGAACAGCAATTCACATCCTCTGTCTACCCTCCTGCCCCCCCTCCTTCCCTATTCTTAATTCCGTTCAGTAACCTCCTCCCCACCCCTTCCTACCCCCTCCCCGCCATCCTTCCATATCCTTCGACAGGACCCCCGCCATCCCCACCCACCCCACCCTCCGTCTTCCTTTTCTCATTATTCCTCCTGTCACCGCTCTATAAACCCCCCCTTCCCCTTTCCCACCCACCCTTGCATACCCCCCCTGTCCATACCCTTCCCCCCTCCCCTCTGCCTCCCCCTCCATTCACCCTTCCTGTACCCAGCCTACCCCCTTCCCCCCTCCTCCCCCGCCCACACCCTTCCTGTACCCCTCCCCCTCCCCCCCGCCCACCAATCTCCCTTCCCCTTCCCCGAAATCCCCTTCATTCCTCCCTAACCCCGACATAACCCCACGCACCCCCCCCTCCGTCTCCCCCAACAACCCCGTAGAGTCACGTGACCGCTGGATTCGCACGCCAAAACCAACAAGAAGGTTTGTTTCTCGTGACCTTCGGTCGGCTCGGCGTGTGGCTGTCTCGACCGGGCCAGCTCTCGTCTCTCGCTATTATTATCATTTATCATCATTATCATAATCATAATCATATTATCATCATATCCCTCCTCCTCCATCATCATCATCATCATCATCATCATCCTGGTCATCATTATCATCATCTTCTTCCTTATCATCTCTTCCTTATCATCATATCTTCTTCCTTTATCAATCACATCATCATCAATCTTATCAATCATCATCATCATCACACATTATTATTATTATCGTTACCATTATTATTATATTATTATTATTATTTTTCACACTTTTCATTATTATTACAAGAAAAAAAACTTTGGCTATAAATGAATGACACAAAAATAAAATGTTTGATATAAATTAATGAAGTTCAGCATTGTGTCGCTACCAACTGTCATTCGGAAAGGTTAATGAGAAGGTAAAAATAAAACCTAATTAAAGTTTTTCCAAGCACTAAGGTGAAGCCATAAAAAACCTTTGAAAAAAATTAAAAATATGGAAATTAAATGATGGAAATGTAGTACAAGAAAACGAGGGCAGGTTGTAGACACAAAGAAAAGAAGAAGAAGGAGAAGATGAAGGAGGAGGAGAAGAAGAAAGAAGTGATAATGATAATCAAATGACACAGCATGAAAAATATAACCAAGACAGGGTACAAGGGAAACAACAGAAACAATAATAATAACAATAACAAAACAACAACAGAAACAATAATAATACAAGAAAAAACAACAACAACAGAATACAATATAAAACAAACAACAATAATAATTATGATGAAAACAAAGAAAGAAGACGAAGAAGACGACAGGAGGACGAGGACTAGAAGGCGAACACGAAGAAAAAAAAACTTAAAAAGCAAAAAAAAAAAAAAAAAAAAAAAAAAAAAAAAAAAAAAAAAAAAAAAAAAAAAAAAACGAAAGAAAAAAAAAACAAAAAGCAAAAAAAAAAAAAAAAAAAAACGAAAGAAAGAAAAAATGACCAAAAAGGAGAGAAATTCCGAGCGAGCGTCTCCTTCTCCATCAAGTATTCAAGTCATCTTCTGAGCGTTATATTTTTTTTTCTTTCTTTCTCTTTCGCTCGCGTTTCTTGTTTTCGTTTTTTTTTCTCTCTTCATTATTTTTTTCTTCCTCCTTTTTTTTTTTGCCACCGTAAAAGAAGCCGGTTCAGGATCGAGACCCCCCTCCCCCCCTCTCTCCCCTCCCCCCCCATAACCCGCTCTCTCAAAATGGGCAAATAAAAAGTGAGGGACAAAAAAATAAAAAAAATAAAAATAAAAAGAAGGAAAAAAAATGGAGAGGAATTCCAGACGAGCATCGTGTCCGTTAATCATTGGGAAGGAGGAGGGGGAGGGGGGAGAAGCAGGAGGGGGAGGGAGTAATAGAGGAGGAGGAGGAGTAATAGGAGGAGTAGTAAGAGGAGGAGGAGGAGCAAAGAG